CATCCTGCGAGGGGGCGGGCGAGGCGCCGCCTCGGGCCGCGGCGCTAACTGGCTGCGGATCAGAGCCCTGGCTCCGCGGGCGCCGCTCCGGACGCTGATTGGTGGAAGCTGGGGAGGGGGCGTGAGCGGCGCGCGCAGCTCGGGGGTGAGCGGAAAGTAGGGGAGAGGGGCCGGGCCGGGGCCGGCCGGAGCGGCGGCTAGTGCCCGCCTTCGTCCCTGCTCGCTCGGGAGCCTGGGTTTGGAACAGGCGATCCGGCCTGGGGTTCCTTTCTGCCTGACTGGGAGGCGAGGCTTGCGGAGGACTGGATGGGGATGGAGACCCGGGGATGCATGCACCCACTCAGCCTTGTACTGCTCCAGACTCAGCCTGGGGCGCCTCCTCTTCCCCTTGTCAGCACCGGCAAGCAAAACGGAGGGAGGCAGGACTGGGCGCGATCCTGGAGGCCTCGCTTACATCAGAGCTACCCAGAGACCCAGTAATTTCCGTGTGCACAGCTCTCTAGAGTGCTTTCTGCTGGGTGAAATCGTCGCACGCATCTCCGGGGCTCAGGGAGCTAGGAGTTTGTTGTGTTAAGTGGCCGAGGGAGGAGTGCGGGACAGCAGCATTCCGACAGGTGTTCAGAGACTGGGCGGGGGAGGGGGGGTCTTTGGCTGGTGAGTTAGATAAGAGTGGGGGCCAGAAACTCTTCTCTCTGAACCCCAGAGTCTAGGACAACGGTGGACTGTGTGTATGTGAAGCCCCTCCCCACGCCGGGGGAGGGGAGGACTTAGATCGAAGTCTAGGGTGCACGTGCAATTTGAAGGACAAAGCCTATGTAATGTTTGTTTAAGACTAAGTCTTGCTATGTAGCCTATACTGGACTGGGACTTCTGCCTCAACCTCCCAAACATTGGTATTTTACGGGCTTGTGCTAGTACATCGGGAAATGGACGCCATAATTTAATATTTTAAAATAAACAAGATACTTCTTTTTTTGGGGGGGGGTCCAGTCGTGGGGCCTGAACTCTGGGCCTGGGCGCTGTCCCTCAGCTCTTCCGCTCAAGGCTAGCACTCTACCACTTGAGCCACAGCGCCACTTCTGGTTTTTTTCTTTTTGCTTATGTGGTGCTGAGGAATCGAACCCAGGGCCTCATGCATGCAAGGCAAGCACTCTACCACTGAGCCACCTTCCCAGCCCCCTAAGATACTTCTTTTCCCCTGTAAAAGCCATGGAAAAGGAAAGTTAGATGATTTTTTTAAAGGTCTTGTTCTTCCCAGAAAGAGAGCCCTTTTTTTTTCTTTTTAAATCAAAAGAAAGAAAAAAAGTAAGAAAGGTTTTAGATGCTGAGGGTTCTTTTGTGTTGGAGACAAGAAAATTCCTGCTCTTGGCTGGGTAAAACCACAGGGCTGGACTTTCCTTCCTCACCTAGATCAATTGAAACAAAAAGGTGGAGTGCTTGGTGCTGGTAGCTCTCATTAGTACCCACTTGGGTCTAGCTGTGCCCAGTAGGAGAGACCCAGATCCTGGTGCTGGCATGGGTTCATGTTAGAATGAATGAGTGGGTGAATCAAGTTTCCTGTAGAAGGGGTCTTTGAGATCATCAGTCCAGAGACAAGAGAAAATGAGACTCAGAGACAAGAGTATGCAACATAGAAGACTATGCAACATAGTCGCATATACAGTCACTGTGTGGCTGTGTAATAATTAGGATTTAGGCCTCATCACTCCTGACCAGGTGGTTTTCCCACCATCCGGGTGGGAAATCCCAGCCTGAACTGTGAGACATTATGTGCTTTGGGCTTGGGCCCCTGCCTGCGGGGAGCCAGCTAGAGCCTCGCGAGGCTCGGACAGGCAAGGACTGGAGGCACTGCAGGGACACCTGTTCTGATCACCTGACCACCTGTTGTCTTAAAGCTTGATTATCATTATTTCAGTTGCTTTCCCACCTCCTAGCCCCCAATACTGGAAAGAAGACTTGAAATCAGGCCTATCCTATTCTGCACTTGTCAATGCAGTTTCTTTTTCAAGTTTGTGTTGGCATTCGAGTTAAAAACCCATCCTTTCTTTTCCCCCACTTTCCCACCAAAAATAAATAAAAGAGGCTGAGTGCCCTGGGGCTCCCTCGGAAGGCTGGCAGGTTCGCTGACACTGAACTTGAGCTCTTACATGTGAGCGTTGGCCCCCAGAGTGGTATGAAGATTACTATTCTATAAATGGAAAATTCCACTTTATACACAGCCCTGCAGGTCACAGACTTACAAGGTATGCAGACATTTCAAGATCTAAAGAGTGGGAACTACTGTTCTAAGAAAAACCTCTGCAAGGAAAGTTTAAAGCTGTTAGCTGCTGTATCCACCCTCCTCCCCCACCCCGGGTCCCACCAGAAGGTGGAAGAAAAATAATCTTTGGCCTTCTTCTCTACCCTCACAAGGTTCTTAGCCCTTGAGGATGATTTAAGGACAATAAAAAATTTTAGAGGCATTTGACTGGGACCCGCATCTGGGAGAGTAGGCAGTGGTGATGGTACAGAGATACAGGATATGGAAGGAATAAGATTATCTTTTTCTTTTCCTTTCATGAGTGTGTGTGTGTGTGTGTGTGTGTGTGTGCACATGCACACTAGTATTGGGCTTGAACTCAGGGCCTGGTCTCTGTCCCTTAGCTTTTTCTCTCAAGGCAGCTGTTCTACCACTTGAGCTACAGCTCCATTTCTGGCTTTTGGTTGTTAATTGGAGAATTTGAGTCTCATGGACTTTCCTGCCTGGGCCGCCTTCCACAATCCTCAGGTCTCAGCCTCCTGTGTAGTTAGGATTACACGCATGAGCCATCGATGCCTGACAACAAGGTATCTTGGGATCTGGCCACATGGGCTGGCCACATGTTACCCTATATCAAGCATGAAGAAGGTGTTAGACAGAAAAGGCGGAAGTAGCGCTAAAGTGCACGAAGGCTTTTGCTGGGCTGCAGTGTACTAGTTATTGCCATTAGTGAGCATGGGAAGGCCAGAACAGGCAGCTGTGCCAGCTATGGGTTAAATAGAGTTACTTTTGTCACTAAGCGTAGATCTCAGCCTTGAGGCCACAGCGCTGCCTTCAGGGATGTGCTGAGCGCCTCCCAGGAAGCCTGGCTGTCTTTTGTCACTTTCCCAGATTCTGGGATGGAAACAGGAAGAGAATGCAGTAGCTGTCCAGGTCACCCAGTCACCAAAGGAACACAAATGCCATGGGCCTCCAGCCGTCTTTCTTCTGGAGTGTGCCTGCCGGGCTGGGTAGAAGGCTCTGGCGGACAAGGTGACCGGGCAGAGGGCTCCTTGGGTTCTGCCTTCCCACCTCTCCGCAGGCCCCCAGCCCGGCCATTTCCTTTGCTGGCAGCAGAACTGACCGGCGAGAGGCTCTGCACAGACTGCTGGCAGCTTGAGCTCTTCAGAAGCATGAGGTCAGCCCCAGGGAATGAGGCAGCCTGGCTCCTGGCCAGGCAGTTACAGAGTGCTCTTGTTAGGCTCTGGGCCCCTGCTGGCCTGCCAGCCAAACTTTTGCGGGAACCAGGAAGTGCTTTCCTCCTCCCCTAGCTATGGGCCTGGCAGACAGGCAAGGTGCCCATGGGCACGTGGGATTGGTCGGCAAGGTGTTGTCTTTGTCCTTGTCATGACTTGGGCCAAGCTCTGTGTCCTGGGGAGAAGGCTTAGGGTCAGCCAGCATGGAGGAGGCAATAGCCCCTCCCTCAGGGTGAGATGAGGGACTTGCTGGACCCTGTTGTGGGTTTGCAGAGCACCCAAAGCCTTGGAGGAAGGATTTTCGCTCCCTGGACGTAGCTCCTCCCTCAGATGAGGGAAGGTACTTCTCAGGTAAAGTTGACAGCCATTCCCCCTCCTTGTTTACTGGAGTCCCTACGGCCTCAGGGTGAGCTGTGACAGGTTTAAGGCTAGTAGAAACATTCTATTTTGCTGGTCCCCAGTAAGAAAGAAGAGGCCTGGTAACCCAGGTCTTATTTATTTTTATTTTGTGATGGTCCTAGGGCTTGAACTCAGGGCCATGGTGCTGTCTCTGGTGCTCAAGGCTAGTTACTACTACCTTAGCACTTGGTTCACAGCTCCACTTCCAGATTTTTGATGGTTAATTGGAGATAAGAGTCACAAACTTTCCTATCCAGGCTGGCTTTGAATGGCAGTCCTCAGATCTCAGTCTCCAGAGTAGCTAGGATTACAGGCATGAGCCACTGGCATCTAGCTCTTTTCTCCTTTCTTGAGGCAGGATCTCGATAGCCCAAGCTTGCCACAAGCTTATTCTGTACCTCAGATAGCTTTGAATTCCTAACCATCCTATCTCAGCCTCCTGAATGCTGGGATATGGACTTGTACCACTATGCCTGGCTACCTGAGTCCTTATTGCTTCTTCAGAGTTTCTTCTTATGTGAGGAGTTGCAGGGGGGCAGAGGGAGGGAGGAGCCATCCAGCCACATACAGTGGCTGAGGGGGATAGAGCAAAACCGTACACATCCCCATCCTGTCAGAGATGTGTCCACCAATCAAAACTAAGTCCATTTAAAAATAGTCTGA